ATTTGCAGATAAATTAACGCAGCTGTAGGTCGTTTGTAGATAAATTAATACAGCTGTAGGTGTGCAGCCTGGTAGAAGCTGTTGATGTAACTTGATAGTTGCACGTGGAGTAATTGATACAACGCGCGCGATCATGCGGTTTCCCGCGAGTAGTACCGAACTGTTGACTGAATATAAAATTATTAATACGCGGCACGAGAAATCGGAATCGATCCTATATTTTAGACCGGATTTTATATTTAAAAACGAGTTCCACGATTTATAATAGAAAGTGATATACGCGAGGGAAATGTGCATACTCTGTTCACCGTTTGGAAAACTCCACCTCGTCGGTGGGAACGCTATGAAAGACCATTTTATGTAATACTTTTTTGCTTTCAACTTTAGCGAACTTTCTCTACCTACATTTTTAGGTAATGTTAATCCCGCCTAATGATCGATGACGTCGTTCTACTAATTAATTAAAAATCCACCATTGAAATTAAAATTCTCATTAGTGACAAAATTTTAAATATTTCTCCAAATTGTAGTTCCAATTACTTTGCTGTATTCTGTACTTCGTTGGGTATAATATTTCAGAAAATATTTAAATAATTTCAATTAAAATAAATAAACTAAAATAAATATATTAATATAAATAAACCACAATATATTTAATAAATTTGTTCACGTAGAATTATTCTTTGCACGTGGAACGATTATTAGTACAACTTGCTACAATTTTCATTTGACTCTGGAAAAATAGCTGTAGAATAGAAAAATATTTAAAGAGGAACCATTACATGTTTGGAGGTAAATATTATAAAATTAAGCGTATCACCCTGTATATTAAAAAACGATCATCGATTGAGAGAGTGTACTTGTAGGTTACTCGGGTAAAAAAATGAACCGTAACTGTGGATCGTCGAAGAACGAACGGAATCTAGTCACTCGTAAAGAAACTGCTGCAACTATGAAACGTTCCACAAAGCAGTTGCAGCTTGTAGTTACGACTTATCTTATGGTCGGTGCAGTCGCGAGGAGGAAATATGCTATACGTACAACTGTTTATATTCTCACCACTTATTGGTGCCTCCACTTATCTCTCAAAATAAGAAACGCTGCGAAACGTACGATCGTTGCACGTGTCCGTTGTTTCGCTACTGCCTTGTTATTTCCATAAATTATAACTTCTTATTAAAAGGCACGATTGCACCACTGTCCTCTGCTGGTAAAATTTAAACGGCCTCCGAGAGAAAGGATAAAAGCACTTTGCGCGAATACGAGAAAAAGGAGGCTTGAAAACGTATTTGTTTGCTCGCGATTGAACGTACAGTCGCGAATGATCGCTTTGAAGTTACAGTTACCAGCTTTCAGCGTTCTTTAGGTTCGAAGAAAACGGTTTCATCTATTTTTATTTTATTCTTATCTGGTCGATAAAATTAAGAATTATTTCATTAATTTTTATTTTGTCAAGAAAATTGACAGTTGTTTTAAATAATCTTTGAAGAGACATATGAGGCTCAATAATTATTTCAGAATCAATGTATTAAAAATTCGAAGGAATTACTTGCTACTCGAAGAATTTTATTAATTTTTATTTTGTCGAATCGATAGTAGCTTTGTGGGTATTCGAGGAGGATTCAAGTCTTGGGGGTGGAAAATGTTGGTCGTATCGCGGAAAATTTCGCGATTCTTCGCGCTGGCGAACACGTTTCCGAAGATATGCAAAACACTTGGACTCTTTCCGAGTTTCGCTGGCATTTGGCCAAGTTGTTATCCGATGACCCGACAGAACCATGAAACGCGTTCAAAAGCCGAGGAAAGTAGAACGAACGACTTAACGTTCGAGAACCACTTCAGCTATCTTATTGAAAAATCTGTGGTAAACAAAAGGAGAAACGGGCACTACCCCATTCAGGGGCGTAAGAATCATTGGGATCAACGCAGAGACGAAGGAATGAAAAAATCTATTTATATTTTCAGATTTAAAAATCTTTATTTACTATGAAAAACTTGTATTTATATTTTTAGAATTCTCTATAATGCCCCAAATTAGACGATTCAAATAAAAATTGGATAAGAATCACAATTTAAATGAACTGTGAAATAAATAGAATCCCAGAATTATTTTACTGAAAATAAAATAATTTCCAAAGCAATGTTTTGATGGACACTTGTGACTACGAATTTATTATTAATTTGATCAACCTTTTTGATGCTAAAATTGCTGAAAACACCCATGTTTGTGAGTATATTTGTACGTCCATGACACTAAAAGGGTTAATATCGAATGGCGAGGTCGTTAGAAATTCTTATGCGTAATTTAATTTGGAAATGGCGCTTGGGTCTCACGTTTGCTAGATACATCGTTGATCCGGATACACATGGTGAAGCCTTCCCAGTATCAAACACAGCCGAATACCTTTCACCTGAGCAATGTCACGAGAGATTCTCGTTGTCGCTTCTGGAGTCAGTCGATGATTTTCACTCGCGGGCAACTTTTGCCATCGAAACGGTTTCTTCGTTGCCTCGTTCCGTACAATAATTTATGCCCATCTCGTCCCCAATGTCGAACGAAAGAATCTGATCTCTTGCACGTACGAACACGGTGAAATACATTTCTACAATACCAGTGAATAACAGTGTCGGATTTACATCGAAGAAAATCAATTTACATACCTTCGACTGTCTGTGTATTTTATTTACAAATTGTGTGATTCTTGTGTGGGATACGTGGGTGAATACAGCGAAAAACTCTTTAAAGAAATTTTAGAAAATTGTTTTTGGTCGAGTTGGTTGAGTTTAAAATTCTGTGGACGCTTTGGAATGTTTTTAATTTATAGGTAATTGTTTAAAGATTCTTACGGTCGTGACTGTATTCGGAAATGTGAATTTAAAGTTTTCGCCAGGAAGCTCTCAGAAAAACATCCACGTAGTTTCAACCGTTTCCTGTTTTTCTTTCGAACCGCAATTTCCCTCCTCCGTGCAGTTTTCTTTACTTTCTTGCGAAAGGAAACTTCGAAATCGATTTCCACAACTCCGCGACTCGAAAAACTCCATTCCGGAGGAAACCGAGGCTTCAGACGTCCCCGGAAATTGAATAGCTTCCACGATTTATATTTCTCCAAGCGCTTCCGGAAACTGTTCCTCCCGCAATCAATAGCAAACGCGACTCGTGGACTTAGCAAAAGTTCGAAACAATATTTATTTAACAAGATTACTGCGCTCGAAATAAAATACAAAGATTCTTTCGAAACTTCGAAATTCGTTTCTTTAATTTAATATTATTCTTCGATGAATAATTAATTTGAATTATTTTATTTATTCACACGATAGATGGTGAACAAAATAAAGAAATATAAAATTCTTTATAATTAAATGGATGTATGAAAGTGTAAAAGTTTGTTTAGAACTAGAATTAGTTTTTCTTTCATTTTCATTTACAAATTTCAAAGTCTGATAATTTTTTATTTTTTAATTATTTTATTTATTCACACAATAGATGGTGTATAAAATAAATATATTCAAATATAAAGAAATATAAAATTCTTTATAATTAAACAAATTTCAAAGTCTGATAATTCTGTAAAATTTTTGAGTCTCGTTCGAAGGAATGAAAAATTATTTTTACAGTTTATATAGTTGCTGGATGAAGTTCTCTTTCAGGAAGATTTTGCCCAACGTGGAAGAATGCGTTTTCACTAAAATTTCACTGCGTTCTGGTTGGCCAGTCGATTGATCCGCTCGAACGACCACTCGAGCCGTACAATGTTTAACGTTTTAATCACTTTTGTTAGCGGATAGGCCTGTTCATTATATTGAAGCCGCCGCGCCTTGATTTCTCCTGCGCTCAGCTGTTCGCGAATCTGTCACGACCGCTGGTACACCTGCGCCATTGCGAAAACTATCGCGCGTACAATTTATCGTTGCTCCACTTAAATTAATTTGCATAATTTTCTACATCTCCAACGATATTTCGTTAATCCTATATACGGACCATTTCGCGCAGGTGCAGTGGACATAATTAATCGCTCAACGTTCAACGTGCATTAATCTAAAATTTTTTCTCGAACCATACTGCAACTTTGTGTTTAATTTTTTCTCTTCCCCGTGAATAAAATTAACTCGTTCGAAGTTTGAGCAACGGGTCAAATAGTCGAGGTCAATATTGTCTCAAAGAAAAGTACGATCAGCGACAAATTTGTAAATTTAATTATTTAAATAATGCAGCTTCGATTGGTTTTTTCATCTGGAATCACCCCTTTTATTGATACATCCTGTATAATTATATCGACAAAGCAAAAAACAGAATTTGTTGACGAGTTTGTACTTATAAAAAATAAAATAATAGACTATAATTCTACGTACGAGAAGAGATGAAAACAAGGATAAAATACAGTCAATATTGTTTTAAAAAAAAATACAATGAGTGACAAATTATCAATTTCAATTATTTAAAAAATGGAAAATTCTATCCTTCATTTTCGATTGGGTTGTCCATTTAGAATCACCCCTTTTATTGATACATCCTGTATAATTATATTGACAAAGCAAAAAACAGAATTTGTTGACGAGTATGTACTTATAAAAAATAAAATAATAGACTATAATTCTACGTACGAGAAGAGATGAAAACAAGGATAAAATACAGTCAATATTGTTTAAAAAAAAATACAATGATTGACAAATTATCAATTTCAATTATTTAAAAAATGGAAAATTCTATCCTTCATTTTCGATTGGGTTGTCCATTTAGAATCACCCCTTTTATTGATACATCCTGTATAATTATACAGACGATTAAAAACGAACATATACCAAATAGACGCCAAAGCAAAAAAATTTGTTGACGAGTATACATAAAATAATTAACTCCTGTTTAAAGAATTATAATTGTACGAAGAAGGGATGAAAGCAAGGATGAAATACAGTCTGGTGCATCGTTTTCACTATTATTTGCGGCCCGTTAATGGGAGAAAACCGTCGAGTCACTGACCGAGGTCATTTTCGTTGGGCAGAATTTCTTCTCGAAGAGGTCGTTCCGCTCGAACCCGCTGAAGAGGACGAAAAGCGTGACGAAGCTCGAGCGACAGAAGCAACGCGGCGCCGGTCTTCGGGGTTGTCGTTCACACGAGTCCCTCCTCTGCGGACAGGCGGTGACCTCGATGGACCTCGCGGCCGTGACACCGCTGCATCCGAGCCTGCTTGGCAGACCTCACTGCTTCCAGGTCACGCCCAGCACCGGTGGGCCCAAGTATTTCAGCTGCAGGACCGCTCACGAACGGGACCAGTGGTTACACAGGTTGGTACCGTTCCATCTTCTTTTTCTTCCTCGAACGAATCGTCCGCGAGGGGGTCGAGTGCTCGACGAATCTCTACGAGACGACGAGTGCCAAGTCATCCCGGTATTGTGCTCCAGAGAATAGCCTTTTTGACCTACATCCGCGGTTATTTTAACTTCACGCGACAGGGGGGACGCGCAGGGTCGTTCGATAAACCAACAGACCTCCATTTCAGTACCATTCCTCCTGTAAATCCCGCCATTTTCTAAAACTATACGGGGAACGTTCACCTAAATCCTCGAAAAAAATAAAAATAATTTGTTGTTTTGGTGTTTGATTTAATTCCACGTAACAGGCATCCGCCATCTTTAATTTGCAAATCCTTCTCAGATTAATTCTATTGACTCCCACGCGCGAAAAAAAGAGAATTTTTGCGAGTTTCTATTGTATTCCAACGACTCCCCCCTTCCTCCCCTTTTTGTATTTGCTCCTCGTTAACGCGACACGAGAACTTCTTTTTAAACTCTGGTTCGTCGTTCGAAGGAGCAGGGACTTTAATTACGTTGCACGTTGTTGGACCCAGTTTAAGGAAATCGGTTCAACCCGACGCAGAGCAGACGCGACGAACGGACAACTCCCTGCAGATTTGGCTGCTGGAGGCGAAGGGCGTGCCAGCGAAGAAGAGATATTTTTGCGAGGTCTGTCTAGACAGCACCCTGTACGCGAGAACCACCGCGAAATTGAAGGCGGACCTGTGCTTCTGGGGCGAGCACTTCGACTTCCACCATCTGCCCTCCGTCAACACCATCCAAGTCAATCTGTACAGGGAGGCGGACCGCAAAAAGAAGAGGGACAAGAATGTTTTGATCGGTAAGACGCGTAGAAACGAACACACGTCCTCGTGAATGTCCGTCAGTTATTTGCATTTGGTTGCACGTGTCCCTTAAATACAGTTTTGACGAGAAGAGAGAATGGATGCTGATAGACCCCCGGAAAAGTAGAACGAAGCTGTTGAGAATTGCCCACACCGTATGTTGTGTGTTCATTAGATGATTTTCTAGCAATTTTGTACAACTTTTCAACGAATTACCGCGGATTAGAGAAATCTTCCTTTGACAGTAACAAATCTCACGCGATCAGCAATGTATTCTAATAAAATAAGATGGAAGAAAGCTAGAGCAACCAGTCAATAATTTCCACTTTGTAACTGAAGGGAAAAGCTTCGTGTACGCTGTGGGTTTATCAACATTACTTAGAAATATAATGTAAAAATTATGATCAGAATAATTTCTGGGCTATCGTATTTGTATTTATTGAGAGAGAATACGTGTCACGACCAACTTGTGAAAGAAACATTTGTGCTAGCATTTGTTCCAAAGTTCACCTTAACATATTCATCTATAATTTAACGATGTGTTCTAAATTGTGTGCAGGTTCCGTCAGCATACCCGTGCACATCGTGACGTCGCGATACCTGACGGAGAAATGGTACCCCGTGGTGGGAGACAAAGGTCCTTTGAAGGAGCCCCCAGCGTTGAGGGTGAAATGCCGCTTCCAGTCCGTGGACATACTACCAGTTCAGGTGTACCAGGAGTTCCTGGAATACCTGAAGACCGACTACAAACCTCTCTGCGAGAAATTGGAGCCCGCGATCGGCGTGAAAGCGAAAGAGGACATCGCCACTGCTTTGGTAGCAGTCATGCAACGGGAAAAGAAAGCGCCTCAGTTTCTTGCTGACTTGGTCATGATGGACATACACAGAATAGGTAATTCCCAGCGTTCGAAGATTCAGAGAAAATGTTTCTAGGTAGCTCGTTTACCTGAGGTGTTCCACGAAGTCAGCTTCCAATCCTGGAAGAACACTTTGTCTGATTGATTCTGAAAAATTTTAGTCTATTCAGCAGGTGATTCTGAACCAAAAATGTCTAATACACTGTGGGTCTATTTCCATCAATCGTTGAGATAAATAATAGTCTAGACGACTAATTTGTCCCTAGACGTCAGCTTCACACGATGCTTGCTTAGAAATGTAATATAGAACTTCTAACCAGTGTGATGAAAAGAAGAGTATGTTGAGTCTAACTAGATTATATGAAATTTTCATAGCCAAGTTCCTTAGCCTTGATATTGAATGTGACCCTAGGCGATGCTAGCTTTAAAGGCACAGACTTCATATACAAGATTCAATCTCCAAGATAAAATTCACGTTAAACAATAATGCTATCTGCAAGATTTGCTAGGACCAAGTGCTTCTTCGTATCAAATTTTCACCGTCGAACATCCTCTGTAAATATCAAGCATCGACGAAACAGGTTCACCAGAGAAAGTTCAGAGTTGGCTTTGATGCTGAGCAGATATGTTTGCTCAGAAATTTTTTTTCTGTTCGTGGAGAGTCGTCCTCCACTCATCGATGGTAAATATTGAATTTCAGACGACGAGAGGCTCACCTTTCGAGGAAATTCCTTAGCCACGAAGGCGATGGAGGCCTACCTGAAGTTGACGGGCGATAGGTACCTGCAGGAGACCTTGGGAGCGGTGGTGAGGGGCGCGGTGGAGGGTGGCGACTGCGAGGTGGACCCGTTGAAGGTAGCCTCGGTGGCAGCCCTTCACAAACAACAACAGAATCTGAGGAACGCGGTGGAGCTAGCCTGGAGCAGGATACTGGCCAGCCACGCTCACTTTCCTCTCGAGTTACGCGAATGCTTCCGTATATTCCGCGAACGGTTGCAAGACATGGGCAGGGAGGACATTGCTGACAATTTGATCTCCGCGTCCATATTCCTCAGATTCCTCTGCCCCGCCATACTCAGCCCATCTCTGTTCAACATTACTCACGGTGAGTCCAAACCTCAGAATTTTAGTCTCAATAAGTTTAGTTTACTAGTTACTATTCAAAGGTGTAGTTCATTTTGTTCAAATTTGAATGCAATGGCCACAGAAAAAGATTTGTTTATACTATGTTAGAGATCTCTTAAAAAGGAATAATTCATTGTAAAAAGAATATAAACGTTGGTTCATGGTTTTCTTTAGCACACAAGGTTAGCAGCAAAAGTAAATTCTAAAGAACTAACAATTGTATAAAAATTATTAATGCAAGAAGAGCTCTATGAATATGTGTATGATAATCAGGAGAAATTCTTCCTTATTCTAAAGATGATAAATTTGTACTTTTGCATTTACATTGCCGAGTTATATAATTTCTAGATAACTAATTCCTAGTTGTACGCAATTACGAGAATTGATAAACGAGCTGTTATTATACAATATGAGTTTTGAAAGATAAGATAAACAGTGGTGTCTTATGCAGTTTGCATCGGGTCAGAAATAGAATTTATCGTTTCTGGTATTTTATTTTTCCCCCATTATCGATAGAATGATGTAACTACGCTGAGAACAAATTATAGTTGGTTTACAGTAAATGGAAGAAGGATGTAAATAAAAAGATTAACGATGAAAGGGGAAAGAGGAAAAAAGATTCGAAGGTAAAATTGAAAAGCGTGGAAATGTGGAGAGTTCTGTTTCTTTCCAGAATACCCGAACGAAAAGGCAGCGAGGAACCTCACCCTCGTGGCCAAAACTCTCCAAACGCTCGCGAACTTCACGAGATTCCAAGGAAAAGAGAACTTTATGGAATTCATGAACGACCTCTTGGAGCGAGAAGCTCCGTCCATGAAAAACTTCCTTCAACTCATCAGCGTACGTGTGATTGTTCTTTCATCGTCCTAAATGCAGTCGAGTTCCAGAAGATAGACAAAGTGTCCTTGATACAGTAGAACCTCGATTATTGCAAAATATCTAGGCTAAAAGCTTCTGCAATAGTTGACCAATAAGATATAGCTTCACACAGCATATCTGACTATACCTCTTCAGTAATGTCTTCAACCATACTTGTTCCTTAGTAATCATCCTCTCCACTTGTCAACCTAGTGTCATACAATAAACTAGTCTTTGATGCAATAATCGAGGTTCTACTGTGACAATGTCATCTTCCTTCCTAAGTCTGTGCTCGTCGTGGCCAAGTTCAAGATTAGTTACTGACAAGAATGTCTTTTACAGAGCCCACTACCAAAGGACGCTCCGGCCAACAATTCCCTGGAATTCGACGGCTACATAGACCTGGGGAAGCAGTTGTCCCTGTTGCACGCGTTACTGCGTGAAAGTTTAGTCACGATAACTTCGTCGTCGTCGCCACTGCCACCGCCCAGGCTGCCAGAGATCTTGGAAAGGATCTCCCTGGCCCTGGATCAGCCGGGTCCCAGTCCAGTGCCGGCATCCCACCGCTACCCGAATTTGCAGAACAACATCTTCCGTTACAACGATCCCACGATCGCCAACAGCAACACGAATCTCTCCGTGTCGGCGACGTCGACGCTGAGCAACCACAGCACGCTGAACGGCACGATCAGAGACAGCAACGAGGTATTGCAGGCGAACACACTTGGCCACAACAGTTCCCGGAGTCCAAACGTCGCCAGGGCCGCCACTCTTCCCAGGAACGCGTACATGCCCAACAACGGGAAGCTTCAGCTGCAGATCACCACCGACGACTACCCTCTGGAGCCACCAGCCTTTGTGTCCCGTTCGCCAACGCCTATCGTGAGGCAGCACAGGGCGATAGGGTCGAACAGAACCGGCGCTGGGTACAGACTAACAGCTAGCGCCAGTTTAGCGAACGTGAATCACTGTCAAACGCATCCCACCAGTCCCACAAGATCGGAGAGTCACAGCAATCTGAAGGATTCCAACTACAACATCACAGCGCCGCAGAACAATCAGTCGAACATCTGCACGATCGTCGCCCAGCAGCAGCAACAGCAACAGAACCACCGACACAACATCGCGCGGCTCCAAAACATGGACATCCACGACAGGGAGGACAACTACAACCACAACAACTACAACGTTTCGAGATCGACCAGCAGGAATCACTGCAACAAAGAGGAGAACGCGAACCAGACGCAGCACCAGAACTACAACAACGTCTCGAAGACCACCGTGAACGCGAACGTCATGGTGAACCCGTCCTCGAACCTCACGCTCTCTATCAATCATCAGCCGAACAACAATTACAACAATAGCAAAACTAGCAATACTGCCAACGGTAACCTGGACGAGCTGTCCGACCTGCTCAGGTACGCCGACGACGAGGTCTCGGAGTCCAAGTCGCAGAAGGGATCGCAGATCTCGATCTCCCAATTGAGCAACGTCGCCTCGTCCGGCTACCAAAGTTTCGCTGCTTACAGTCAGAGCTCCAGCCCCGTTGATCTGAGTAGCAACAACGCGAACGCTCACATACTCAGCGCGGCGCCGCTCGCGTTCGCGAACCCCGTCTACCACATGGAACCAAATCACGGTAGGAACGGCAGGAGAGGTAGCACCAGCTCCGAGGAGAGAGAAGGAAGCGGCGGAGGCGTCGAGGGCGTAAGAGGCGTCGATCTGAGCCCGTCACCACCGCCGCAGAACAACGTCAGGAACCTGCAGAGGAACAGTCAGAACCAGTGGAGGCAAACCAACCAGGCGCACAGGAACAACTCCGAACAGAACCAAAGCGGCTGCTGCACCAAACTCAGGAGGAGGCTGTCGCTGGACTCCACGCGGGATCTGTCCGACACCAGCGAGGAGGAAAGCTGCACGACCAGGAGGAGCAAGTCACGCAGTCACCGTAGCATCGATCAGGTAGTCATACATGTACATGGTTGGTCTCATGGATACTCGGTTTCTTCGATGACGAATATGGATAGCTGTGTCTAAGGAAAGATGGGAGTAGTGGAGACTTGGGTATTGGGTTGATCTGGAGCAGTAATGAAAGCTGCTTGAAACATTTGTTTTCTTGTATTAATGAGTCAAGGTTGTTTTGGGTTTTTGAGAAATCTGACAAATCTTGATACTTAGTAGGTATCCCTAACAAGAATTATTTGGTGTGACTTGTCAAATAAGCATCAACCTCCTAATGTCTGAACAGTAACCTGAGACCTCTCCTTGTGAATTTTAATGGGAGATTCTAGAGGCTAAAATAGGACGAAAATCAAAAATATCAATTTGTTGATTCAGACTTCGTTAAAAAGTTATTAAAAAATAAAATTAAAAAATTTCGAATCATTCTGAAAAAATTATTTTTAGTTGCGGGGGTCAATTACAACCATTTTTGGTCAATAGACATACCCCCGAAATCCTACGCACTTTCGAGAAAAAAATTATTTACCGAAAATCTAATGTCTGACCATATATCACATTTTTCCCTGAAATTTCATGCGTATCTTTAAAATGTCAAAACTCCTGAACGGATTGGACGATTTTAATGTTTCAAAAGGCAAACGACGCGTATTTTGACGAAGAATATGTAGAAATTCTAAAAATATTCGAAAAGTTGGTCCTTAACCCCGTAAAGTAAGGAAAACCCCATAAAAGTGGTCCAATTTTCAAACGACCATAACTCCTACAATAGTGAATATATTTCATTGAAATTTTGAGAGCAAGTAGAGCTCATGGATACCTACAAAAAAGTATTAAACAACCTTTTTGTACAACGTCAAACAAAATTACTAAAAATCAAAAACGAAATATCGACAGGGGGTGGGTGCTGAAATTTTTCGGCGAAAAAAAAAAATTTCAAATCATTCTGGAAAAATTATTTTCGATTGTGGGGGTCAATTATAATCATTTTTGGTGAATAGACACACCCCCGAAATCCTACGCACTTTCGAGAAAAAAAATTCTTTACCGAACATATACTGTGGGGCCAAAAATGTATGTTTAAGAAATCATAACTTCTGGACGGATTGAAGGATTATAATGATTCAAAATTCAAACAATGCGTATTAATGGAGCTCTAGAGCCCCAGAAAATTGGGTCAAAAGAATACATCGAATGTAAGGTCTACTCGTATAATAACTTTTTAATGGATCCTCATTCAACAAATTAGTATTCTTGATTTTCGTCTTATTTTGGCCTCAAGAATCTCCCATTAAAATTTCCACCGAGTCTACCATGTTGTCCAAGTTCTTATGGATCAACGAAACACTAAACGATGATCTTTATTCGTCATCCCGGTGACCGAGTCGCTAAAAATTCCTCCGCAGCGAAACTCTAGCCGCAGTAGAAGCGAAGCACCGATGGAAGCCGTTCTCTTGCCCGACCATTCGCAAAACCAAAGAGGAACTTCTAATTCTCGCATCTTAACTCTGTCTGTACATATAATACTGCGCCCGTAACGTGATCGTTGTGAATAACAAGTTCCTCTTTCTGTGTCTCTTCCGATCTATCGTCTAACGGAACGTCCGCCAGCGGAGATCTCTTCTCTCGTATCTGTCTTGTAACTAACATCGCCACGTCTCTTCGTTTCCAGTACGAAGTGGAAATCGAGAGGCTGCAGAGTAGCGTAGATCGACTGAGGGCACGGTTAGACGCAACCGAGGATACCGATATTGACGGGATTGCACCGGATACCAAGATGAAGAGCATCATCTCCAGGTACTTGATCCTCATTAACGCGCCAGCTAACCCACCCGGAAACTGATTCTCTGCCTGAGTGTGACCCATCCGCCACCAGCCCCCAGATGAATAACCACTTTTATCCGCGTTTCACTTTCGAGGCCTTCCGTCATACTCAGTCACTTCAGATTTCCATCCTCTCCTCGCCAATTCGCCGCCAGTCATTCGACGCCATTCGCGGAGGACAGAGCTGGCTACCATTTTGCAAGAGGAGTCCACGATCTGGACTCGAGAATCTTGAACGGGGGACCAAACGGGGGTCTAAAGAAACTGGAGAACGTCAGCCATTTTTGGTAAAACGTATGAGGTTAAATATTGATAGATCAAAAAGGAATTCTTCTATTCATCATTGATTAATAAATATTGTTAAGAAATTCAGTGATTCTTGATAGAATCTTTTATAAAAATAATGGCTGATGTTCTGCAGTTTCTTTTATACTCAAAGTCTCTTCGAGCTTGGCCCTGTCCAGTAAACGTATACTCTGAATCGTTTGCTCCTCTTGTTGGACCACGAAAATAATGAAATTGTTCGAAATTCAGTAACGAATAACATTTCAATAGCGAGGATTCGACCGTATTCGGCTCTGTCTGTTCGGTACTAATCGTGTTAAGAGATAAGGTGTAAATATAGTTAGTAATCTGCGAACGAGACGCCTTTTGTATAAAAGAAAAAGAATATATAGTCAAACGGATTAGAAAGAACGTCCACCCGTAATCTCGCAAAAAAAAAAAAAAAATAAAAACGGTTACTGTTCTCGAAATAATATGTATGTTTAATTGATTGTGTGTTCCTGTGCATTCTATCCGCTGCATTTGGTATACTCTGGCTTGATCTGGACCTTGGTGTAAGAGTCAATTATATTTCTAAGCTTCTTACGTTTTTACGTCACATTGTTTAGCGTATAATGTTCTCCATACGTTCTCTCTTGTTTTCGTTGAACGACGAACACGCGCGAACATTTGTACGCGCGATACGTCGCCGTCCGATGCGAGTTTAGAATTATTATACATATTATTCAGCTCACCCAACTATACTCTGAACCACCGACGAAAGCATTCTCACCCTACGTGTGCATACTTACATCACCGTCCAATAACATTCTGTCGATCGTGCTCACATATATCACTGTTACTTCACTCGAGTTTTCTCACCCGACAACCTCGAACTTTCATTCGCGAATAACGAATAAAAATGTTACGTTGATTCGTAAATTATAATCCACTGATGGAGTTTTTGATCTGGAATCTAGGAGAAAATTTTAGGCGAAAGTTGGTTTACGAATAAATCTGAAATTTTTATTCGTTATTCGCGAATAAAGTTTGCTCGACTCCGGGGCACGAATCACTATGCAACTCCACAGATTTTAGCGCGTCAGTTCTGTGCAGCGGGTCGCAGCGCCGGAAATGTTCAGGATACAGCGCACGATGTATTCGTTAGTCATTTTACTGTTGGTACACTGTGATTCAAGCATTTCTGACGATGTTGAAAAGCTATAATTTCAGTTTTTTCTGTGTAATTTTATTCGACATAACGTTGGGTAAATGTTTAGAAAAAGGACTCCTCTATCAATTTTAATAGTTTTGATACATAATATATTTTTAATATGTTTTACAAACATTTTTGTACTTATACAAGTATAAATACTTTAATTTTAGTAGAAAATATAATTTGGTGTCAGTAAACATACTGATAGTTGCAAGACTAGTATTTCTTTCATTTTAATAAATATTGAAAGAAGTATTTAAATGTCTAAGCTCAACATAAATTATTATTACCTATTATTTTCCTTCTTGTGTCTCAATAACGTTGGAAATACTTGAATCGCCCTGCAATTAGATCAACTTCTTCGTTTGAATAAATTTTTGATTTCTCAATCGTCTCTCTTACCACAAAGCTATATTAAATTATCGCTGATAAAAGTATGTTGTTAAAAATATCGTAGTTGGCATCCTGAAATGATTTATTTACACTTTCGCTTGGTAATTTATAAACGATACAAAAATAACAATTTCCACACGTCGAATTTAATTTAAATAAAATTCGAACGATGACCAATGTTGGATATACAAAAAATTAATAAACATCGTCAAATTAATTTCGTCTGCATGATACGATAGATGAAACGTGCGTTCGAGAAACTTGGCTGAAAGACTATTATACTACAGTATAATTGGTCCACTGATTCTAACAACTCTCCTAACACCTGCTCTGTCCACTAATTTTTGTCCTTTTAGCAATTGGCGGTCGGCTTAAAAAAACGATATAACGTTAATAATAACTAAAAGAATTTAAACAAAAAAAAAAAAACAGAGGCGGTCACAAAAATATTTCCAGGTATTAAATGTGCATGAATGTGATGTTTCTTTAGTTACGACACTATCAGGGACAAAAAAAAAAAATCGTTATCTGCGACAAGAAGAAAATAGCAACGCACTGACTGCAACAAACTTACTTTTTTGCACGTACCAATTTTCTATTTATTTTTCAACGCTGCTCTGTCGAGTGTACAATCCTGAACGTTTCTTCTGTGCCCATCACTCGCACACTGCGTCACAAATTTTCACTGCGACGAATCGCGGAGGCCACGCTTCTGTGATCGAAGAACCGCCGCCACCCCCTCACCCCCCCCCTCGTATCCATGCACTACTCTTGAACGTTCTTTTTGGTTGTCCGAGCGTATGACATTCTGCACCAGACACTGCTGCTTCCTTTGAATTTCATTTCCGAGTACATTGGTGTTCTTTTCTTAAATATATGCATCGTGGTGCGCTTGGATCCTCTCCAGCTTCCCTGTCGAGTCTCTCTGAAATCGGAAAATGGCCGACTCTGGCGAGAAACATCGATCTCGAGCGCTTTGAAATACATTCGTGAATTTTGTAGTATTTTTTCGGTCTTCGAAGCAGGTATTAATCGCGTTATATTTTCCCTTTTGGTTTGCAATTTACACGTGGTCGTCAGCAGCCATATTGTCCACCAGTAACTAAAATAATAGCTAATACTAAAACCTTTTCTCAATACCGAATATTTCAAGTGTTTCTCCTGAGAGTCCATCGATCACGCTTTAAATAATTCTCTGCTGCAAAAATGAAGAACTAACAGATTGTCATGGCTTCAGAGAGACTTAACAGGCGATGCTCAGTACCGTGTGTATCGAGAACCGTCCGAGTAGTCACCGTTTCTCCAAAGAATCTGATCGAACTATCGACGATCCTAGATCCCAAGGATCTCAGAGGAGAATCAGAGATTACTCGGTCGGGGAACTCGCGACCCGGATCTCCGGGTGACAAGAGCAAAGTCTCCAACGACTGGGCTCGTCCAGGACCCTCTAAACCGTACGTTCGTTTTGCTAATTGTAGGTTAATCTCTGTGGAGGAGGAGCTGCGGCGCGAACAGCAGAAGATGTCGGCCGCGTTGTCGTACAAGCAGCGCGTGATCGACGCGCAGGAGCAGCAAATAGCCGCCCTGGACGCCGCGAATTCGCGTCTGATGACGTCAAACACAAGACTGTTGTCCGCATTGAGCACACTGAAGCAACGCTACAACGCGAAGACCCAGTCGAGCAACGAGGCAGCCGCGTTGCTGCAGAACATCGCAGACATCGGTGAGCTGAAGAGCTCGTCCTGTTGAGGACCCGCGAGGCCACGCACCGGGTGAACCAACGGACATGGAAGGGACTAACGAAGAACGGGTTACGATCGTTAGATACGTACCTCGTATTAAATGAAACGATCTTCGTCGCGATATCAGTTTTGGGGATTACCCCAGCGCGAGGTTAACGCGGAGTCTAGCTCGGTTGCTTGAGGAGGATGCGCGCGCAACTCTGGGTCCTCCCTCGTTCAAATCGCGCGCCACGATTGGGCGGTACTGGCTCGACAGGCTCGACAAAATCCCTGCATGGACCAAAGTTTTGGGAACGAAGGATAGACCTTTTGAATTTCGATAGTAGAAAAAACGGAGTATTTTGAATAATTTTCGAAGGTGAAAGTGCTTTCAGAATAGGGTTGATTCTTCAGTTTGTTGGGGCACCTAGATTATGCATCCAATTTGTAATGCTTGATAATTAAATTTGTTTTTTTTTTTGGGATCTTCTGGTCCACAATGTTCTTCGAACTTACGTAGTACCTTATATGGAATATTGAAGCACCAAGCGATATCTAAAGGCTAGATTGGAACTTATAAATATTGAATATAATGGAAACCTCTGTTCACCAAAGTTTGTTCCATGTAGTAGCCTCATCATAGAGTGGTGGAGACGAGACCAGGTCCTTGGTCTATCATCTAGACATGGACAACTGGACTGTCCAGCGAGCATTTGACTTTTTAGCAAGAAATGACTGGTGTGGATCACGCACACACACATACACACATGCTGCAGTAGTAAAAGTATTAAGTCTACGATGTCACGTGCCTACTACTGCAATCAATCCTCATCCATAGTTTCCTATTGTGACATCAAATGCTCAAATCAAACTTTACCCTTGCAGGTACAGGCTCAACAAAGCCTGATCTAGGCCTATACCTCCTAAGTAAAAAAGGCGTATCTCGAGTACTTGTTTTGTTTCTTTTTAGATCGTACTGATCATCTTAATTTTCTTTTAATTTTCTTTTATATACGTCTAACTTCATTAACACTCTAACGTTCTTTGCGTTTAAGATAAGTTTATTTCGTTATGGAAGCATGTAAAATATAGTTCTGGTTATCCTAGGATACGCAAAAGTGAAATGCCTTTTTGGTTTAGGACGGTAGCATAGCCTAACTGATTGGTATCGTCTGATACCGTGAAAGTAAGAGTCTGACAAGGATTTTATTGATCTTGTCGAGCTATACCTTCCGATCGTCGTGTGCAGAGACATTGAAATCCCGTAAACTCGCGAGTGCGTTAGGTTTGACGAACCTAGGTAACGAGAAACTCGTTCGAGATTTATAGAGAAGAGAAGGGGGGAGAGCGAGAGGCGTGTGCGAAAATAGAGGCTACCTAGTGAATAGGCAAACGGTTTAAGTAGATAATTTACGTCGAACTTCATGTGACATAGCGTTAGGATTAATTAGAGCCGGGTAATCCGCTAGCCTCGCGTCGTTTGCAATCGAGAACAGTGACGAGAGATTTGATCGACGCCTGGTCGCTGATTTCTTGTTTTTTTTTTTTTGGCGAACTCGTCCCCCGGCGACTTTCCACCGTTCGACGCGAACGAGCCTGAAAGTCGAAGCATCGAAGGGACGCGGTTTCGTTCGATATAAAGGCTTGGCCCTTTCGGTGCTGAAATTCGAAAACTGCGATTGTATTTGTTAAGCACGGTGGTTCGACGCCATTAAATTGGTTCGTAAGCGTCCCCCAAGCACCGAAAAGGTTAGGATCGTTCGAAATATATTGATCAGCGAGGTCGATCGATACATCTGGCCGGTGGTCGAAACACCGACGCAGAGACGAGTCTCTCATTTCCGTTCTGTCACTTCCGTTTCTTTTTTTTTCTTTTTTTTCTCATTTTTATTTAGCATCGTATGTACCTTGACGCACAGCCGCATGCACCGTAACCGCCTAGCATGACATACGAAGATTGTAACGTGTATATTGCACCGACGTGCAAACCGCGCCCTTGAGCACCGAGTCGTACTTCGGGGACACCCCTGTATATGCGTGTACATTTTTTCTAGTTTCCGTTTTCGAGCGCCGCCCGGTCGCAGCGAACCTGGGATCCCCCGTTCGAGCGCGGCGGCCATTTTCACGGGACGTTCAGCGCCACCTGTCGCGCGCGAAACACCGATTCTTACTTTAAGCGACGATATTTATTTAGTAGTTTCTACCAAAGATGAGTGTTTTCGTTGTAAAAAGAAAAGAAACAAAAAAAAAATGGAAAAACGAAGGGGGAGCGAATTTATGTAAGATATTTCGTTGTGTACCGCGACCGAGGTGCCGGTGCGCGGCGCGAGAATTCGAATACGAATTTCTCCGAATTGAGAATCGATATTTTTTTTTCTATTTTTTTTTTTTTTTTAAATTAGTTTTGCACAATCGATGCGTTCATGCATGACAATTAAGACGCTTGACGGTCTCGTTTGTTCGCAAGCGTTAGCGCGAGTTAATGTTTTTACATCACAACCAACAAATTCTTATTGTAGCCGTTGTGTAGGAGCGAGATGCACGCATGCGAGATCGAAAGACTGGAGAGAATGGAGAAACGAGAGCGAGAGTGAATGCGGACGAGCGAAAGAAATGAGCGAATGTGTTCGAGCGTGTGCGGTGGATGCATGTACGAATGGGAGAAAACGCGCGTGGAAGCGAGTGAGAAAAGATTGCGATTCAGTCTAATCTCATTTAAAAAAAAAAAAAGTATTATCTCGTCGACTTGTACCATAGCTTATTGTCGGGCGTTTTGTGAGAGCGTTTTATTTTCTCGCCTTTCGCCGATTATTTTTGTATAGAGATATCTATCTTCCCCGTTTCTTTCACTGTTCCCCGATCCACCTTTTTTCCCGCACTCGATCCCCCCCCCACACCTTTTGTACTTTCTTTGACGCGAGCTGAAGCTGTTTTCAATCGTCGTGTGTTGACACTATGAAATTAATATATTTAACGGTATTTCCCCTTCCTCCCTTTCCCTCTTGTTGGACGATGTAATCGATAAACGATAAAGTAATCTATTTAAAATGACTTGGATAGCGTGTACATTGCTAAGTTTTTTGGTATATTCGTTTCTGCAATACATCATCTGTATTTAAGCGTATAGCATCTATTAGTAACAGTACATGAACAAATAAATATGATTAGACATATTACGTCGATCGTTAAGAAATTATGTGACATCCTGAATATTCCCCTTACTTACAGGTCCGAAATTCGATCAAATTTGAGGGCTAGGAGATGTTAAATAAATACATAAATAATAATATGTAGCACGAACGGGATTGCTTCCAGGTAAGTTCGATAGATGTCATCGCAGAGCCATGGATAACCTCAAAAATATCTCTTCTACGGTGTAAGGTCTACTTGAGCACCGTGTTTTTAATTTAATTAATCCTGACATGATATAACAAAACACATTACATTCACTCTATCAATTTTTCTCGATGTATGAACACAGACGTGGTATACGAGTAGACGTTTCACCTTATGTACTTTCGTGGCCCAATCTGTCATACCGACCTCAAAATTCGAAGGTGATTTTAGCGTCCTCCTTCTCATGAATGGCGGTCAGTTGAGAAATTATTCACTGAATTAACATTGATGGGAGGGATTGAAAAAGGCGATCCATTATTATAAGACGGTGGCCAAAGGAAACTGCCGCTCCACTTACACACACTAATGTATAACCTTATATATGAGTTCTGGCGCTTCGTATAACTTCGAGGATTCGAGAAAGGAGGCGAATAGTGAGTCTTTCCCCTTCATGCTTTCAACAAAGCTGAAAATCGACCTCGCATCCAGTGCAGTGATGCCAGATTGAGCACCGGGTGCACTACTCACACTATGCCAGATCACGCGTACGTGAGCTCGTGGAGTTTCGGAGAGTCGACAAAGGCAGACTGACACATGCCCTCTGTCTCGATTCTCCGAAGCTGCCCGAAGTAATTTCGGACCGACTCGTGGGAGTCGAGAGAGGAAGGCTCGTTTGCCTTCTCGCACTTGAACAACTAAAATTCGACCTCACGTCGACGGCATACGATTCTAAGTCTCGACTGCCCAGGTATTTTCTATTTTCCGACCTATGTATGTAGACGAACATAAGCAAGATACTATAACGAACAAAATTTTGTGAAATTTTTCTTACGGAAATACACGTTTTAAGACCCCCTGATCATATTTGAATTATTGAAACAAAATAAATTCATTTTTATTATTCCTATGTATGAGCGTACATATGTATATCTTTTCAGATATCACTTCTGATACATCTGGCAACGTATAACCATTACTGCTAGCTACTGCCAGCCTCTCGCAGCCTCTGCTGGCCTCTGCTGGCCTCTGCTGGCCTTTCCTGACCGCTAATGACCATTCCTCATACTTCTGACAACGTATGACGATTACAACTTGCTATTAGTTGCCCCTGCTGGTCTCTGCTTGCCACTGCTTGCTACTGCTGGCCTCCACTGGCCTCCGCTGACCACCACTGACCACCACTGATGCTTCCGACAACGTATAACTATTACTACTTGTTACTGCTTGCCACTGCTGGACTCTGCTGTTCACGGCTAGCCTCCGCTGGCCTCTGCTGACCACCCCTGATGCTTCTGACAACGTATAACTATTACTATTTGCACCTGCTGGTCTCCGCATGCCTCTACATCCCTCTGCTGACCTCTGTTGGCCCCTGCCGACCACTGCTGACCACTGCTGACCACTGCTGACCTTTGTTATCTACTTCTAACATGATGTATAAGTATTCAAGCCTTGTATAATGTAAATCTATGGCAATAAATGATATAATTTAACAGAATTCTATGTGTTCTCATCATTTTTACCTTTCTTTTCCTCTCCAAATCATTGCCTTAGTTTTAAGATACCGTTTTTCCGGTTAAAATTGGATTCCCAAACTTTTAAATTTTTTTTCTGTAACCGTCACTCTCGTACCTGTTGGCAAAATCGAGAATTCATTTTTTTCGTCAAAAAATTTCTGCTCGAAAATTTCGCCGATTTCCCAAAAAGTCCTGAAACAACTGGGAAGTCCTGAAACAGCTGGAAAGGCCTGAAACAGCTGGAAGGGCCTGAAACCGCTGGAAAGCCCTGGAACAACGAAAAAGCCCTGAAAAAGATGGAAAGTCCTGGAACAGCTGGAAAGCCCTGAAACGGCTGGAAAGTCCTGAAAAAACGAAAAAGTCCTGAAACAACGAGAAACCCGGAAACAGCTGGGAAGTCCTGGAACAGTTGGAAAGTCCTGAACAGCTGGAAAGCCCTGAAACAACTGGAAAGTCCTGAATTTTTAGCAAAGTTCTGAGTTCCAGGATTTTCCAGTTGTTTCAGGACTATCCAGCTGTTTCAGGACTTTCCAGTTGTTTCAGGACTTCCAAGGAGTGTCCCTAGTGGGTTCAGGGAAACCAAGGAGTTTCAGGGAGTCTTATAACTAAGGTAATGATTTGGAGAGGTAAAGAAAGGTAAAAATGACGAGAACACATAGAATTCATTGAAATTATAACATTTATTGCCTTAGATTTACATTATACAAAGTTTTAATACATATACATCATGTCAGAAGTTGCCAACAAAGGCCAACAGTGGTCAACAAGGGCCAGCAGTGGTCAGCAGTGGTCAGCAGGGGCCAGCAGAGTCCAGCAAAGGCATGTAGAGGCAATCAGAGACCAGTAGGAGCAAGCAGTAACACGTAGTAATCGTTATACGTTGTCAGAAGCATCAGGGGTGGTCAGCAGTGGGCAGCAGAGGCCAGCAGAGTCCAGCGGAGACCACCAGTGACAAGTAGTAGCAAGCAGAGACCAGCAGGGGCAAGCAGTAGCCAGTCGTAATCGTTGTACGTTGTTAGAAGTATCGGGAGTGGTCAGCAGCGGTCAGCAGAGGCGAGCGGTGGCAGGCAGAAGTCAGTAGTACTCGTTATACATCGTCAGAAATATAAGCGGTGGTCAGCAGAGGGCAGCAGAAGCCAGCAGAGACTTGGAGAAGCTAACAGTAGCCAGTAGTAATCGTTATACGTTGTCGGAAGTATCAGGAGTGTTCAGCAGTTGTCAGCTGGGGCCAGCAGAGGCAGGCAGAACCCCGCACATGCTGGCAGAGGTCGGCAGAGGCCAGCAGAAGTCAGCAGAGACTGGGAGAGACTGACAGTAGCCAGTAGTAATGGTTATACGTTGCCAGATACATCAGGAGTGATATCAGAAATAATATACATATGTACGCTCATACAAAGTGTGGGATTATGCTGACTTGATGCACGTGGTTCGTTTCCACGTATGATGCGCGTGCGTTCGTAGGCCCACCCCTACGACCACGGGTATTAATATTCGAAATGACTGAACACGTGTATGTAACAACAACAACAATAACGTGTATTCTTTATTCACGCTAGGCGTACAAGTCTTTGTCTAGCAACAGGAGTTTTTACTCTGGATCTTTTTGAGGTGCTTCTTCGCGCAGTTCTTACCAAGCAGTGGTTTGAGCGTCCTTGCATTTTTGGGAGGACGCGCTTTCGCCCTGCTGCGCTGCGCGCGCAGCTTTACGGCGGATTCGCACTTGACGGGAAACTGCTCCCCTATACTCTTGTGCGGACGAGACCATAAGTCTCGACCCCACATGGTCGAAAATGAGCGCCATCTAGCGTCGCACATAGTGAACTATTTGACGACAAACTTGGGCGTTTCGTCGTAGATAGCTGTGCAAATCATGTACCACCGATGGGTCACATTTTCTTTAACTTATAGACAGGGAGAATGCAGTCACTTTATGTAGACACTACTGTATTTATTATAATAATAATAATCTTTAGACATTGTTCATTAATTAGACTGAAGTACATATAGTCTCAAGTTAATGTGTATTATGCTTGACACGATGTGAAACCATGTACTTGTCGAAAGAAACGTGCAAACTACAAATATGTCTAAGATCTCTATTCGTTTAATAAATACAATGCAACATATTACCTCGATATCTAATTATTTGAACCAACAGAACACCATCAAAATACTATAATCTAGCTGAGCCACTAGCCATTGTTAAAGTCATATTCCTCATGCAACATGTAGAAGTCCTGTTCAATTCTCATAATCCCAAAGGGACTAGCTAACCTATGATTATCTTGCGGTTACTTTGTATTCTAAGAGATCTAATGACTCTTTCTAGCAACAAGTTATTAAAATAGGGATAACAAACATTCTGTGTATATAAATTCCAAGCGTATAAATTTATCATCCCTATGTATGAGCGTACATATCTATATTATTTCAGATATCACTCGTGATATCGACTACATGTGCTTCTGACAACGTATAACCATTACAATTTGCTACTGCTTGCCACTGCTGGTCTCCACTGGCCTTTGTTGGCATCCAGTAGCAAGTAATAATCATTATACGTTGTCAGAAGTATCAGGAGTGGTCAGAGGTCATCAGAGGCCTGTAGAAAAATTCAAAAGTACATGTAGTCGTACCTTGGCCCAGTATTTTTTACCCTATACTACAGGTAAAAAGGGGTACAACTAGGTAAACCAGCTTTATGACATTACCTGCTAACTCAAGTTAGCCACCAGTAGATCCCATGTAAAGACCATATTAGATATATTCAAACGTTTTACATAAATAATAGAAGTAAAAAAAAAGAACTCTCAAAACGAAACGTGTTCAGGATATTTTCAGGTTTTTTTTTTATTTTTTATTGCTATAGTACAATTTGATTGTTGTGTAAAATCTGTTGTAATATACTAAAAGTATCTATGCTTACATTATTAAAAGGAATAAAACGCGGAAGCATAGCACAATAGAACAGAACAACAACCCTATTGTGAATGTTAGATTATCTTTATTATTACATCTGTTTAAAAGACATAACTTATTTATAAAAATATGAGGATCGGGTGCCAGAAGTAAAGGGGGAGATAATCGGGAGGCGGGTGGGGGGCCCAGGGAACAGGGGGATTGGCAGGATATAATAGGATCGAAACAAATCCTTATAGTTTATGGAATAGTTAATACTAATAAAACTCAGTACTTTTTACAAGTTACAAGGAATAACAAGATCTATCATTAATAATCGGAAGTTTCTCTCTCTCTAAACTTATCCATAGATAACTGATAAATTGGAGCGCGTAGCTTATCTATCTTTTGTTCGTTTTACCACAGAGAATACCAGGTGCTGCAGAGAGCGGATGACATCGCAAATTTTGAACACATTAACTGTTTAATCACGCCCGATTCGATGATCTATATTCGCGTACGCTACATATGCGCCAGATTACGAAAATATCAAATTCATTCCCGTGGACGCGGTTTCAATCGCCGTCGACGACGTTCCGTTTGAGCTATTTCGTTTCGTACCGTTTACAATATACTATTTAAAAAAATATTAACACATCTCTTGATATTTTCGTTCGACATTTGGCAGACTTTTTCATTCGGCTTTAACAATTACAAAGGCAGTCGCGTGAAGAATACATTTAATTCGTTACAAAAGTTTTCTCTCTCTTTCTCTCTCTCTCTCTCTCTCTCTCTCTCTCTCTCTCTCTCTCTCTCTCTCTCTCTCTCTTTTTCTTCATATATATATATATATATAAATAAAAAAAAAAAAATTGTTTCTCCTTAGGAGCATACAGGCTTCGCGAAATAGTCATAGAAATTGCGTTGGACCCTCGTCTTCCGGAATCGGAAAGCTCCATCACACCTCTATGTAATTCAGAATTGCACCGAGGACAAAACGCACGATTACCGCGGATCCCCGATGCAACAGTCAATTACACAAAATATACATATAAAATATATATATCTATTCATATATATATATATTTATATTCTTCTCTTCTATGATCCATAATATGAATAAAGGAAACATTATTGTTACCGTATATTGGGAGTCGTCTTACAAAACTATCAATATCTAACTTACGTAATATAAAAATATGTAAAAACAGTTTGTACAAAATCGAGAGAAAAGACAATTATATATATATATAAAAAAAAAAAAAAGTACTCGACAGTACGTAAGATGAGCGGACAGAGAATGCGTGGTACGTGGGATGGGGAAAGGGGGGCGGGGGAGATGGACACAGGGGGGGATAAAGAGTATTTACAAACTTCCTCTTTTTTTTTTAGAAACGCGAAGGACGAAACGCGATTTCAGCGCGTCCTTGTTGCGGTTCAACTCTGATCGCGTTACCGGTGGACATATATTGCAAAACGTGCACGGAAGAACTCCATCTCGCCGACCAAATAATTAGTTCTTTTCTCTCGCAACAATCCTACGATTAATGTCTATAACCCTATTTACGCGCATGCGCGCCGCCGTCCAGTCACGCCACCCGATCACGCATCATCCAAGAACTCTTTTGGCTTTGGCAGATGAGAGATCAGCGAGAATCGTCTTACCGCCCGTCCGTCGCGTGCTTAATTTAATTTAAAGAGACTCTATTACACATTAACGTTAACAATTACGCTAGCTTGTTAGTAAACGATCCGAGGACAGTAATTACGAGGCGCAACCGCGAGCTAACCTCGGCCATTTCGACTCGAGCGAAACTCCTTGCATCTTCTTTTACGTTCCTGGGGTTCCCCCGAAACAATTTCGATAGCGAAATCATCAATTGGCAGCTCGAGACCACTTGTGTAGCCCGCAACAATGTTTATTTACACGCAGTTTTCACCTGTGTATTCGTTTTCGATAACTCGTTTCCAAAAAGTAAAATAAATACAGGTGTTACAAAATTTACTGGCGTATTTTACATATTAAAATTGAAGAAGAAGACTTATTAACTTCTCCAGAGTTACTTGAGGGATACTTGAGTACAATTAATATTGTAATTATAACATGAAAGTAGTCGCTGAGGTTGTGGACATTATTAGATGCCATGGATCGGTATTGATTTAAATAATTCTTTAACCAAAATAATGTACCCCTGAAGTAGCTTAACATACACCCATAAACCTTCTGTTTTTGCTATACAACCACTCAAAGTTATTGCATTGCTTGATGACACTTCTGGGCAATTTCTAATAATATTGCATTTATTGCTTTTCTGAGTTTCTACTCAGAGGACATGTAACATTATCGATACAGTTTCTTGGAATTATATTACTTCCTACATCTATGCCAGAATTGCTAAGTTTAATGTAAGCTAGAAGTTGTATTTCAAGAGTAAGAGGTTTGTGGATTTATGCTTATCAGAGTCCTCTTTTCTTTAGTTTCAAGGTGTAGAATACGTCTATAAATTTGGTGAAACTCGGACTTACTCTGTATCGCGAGGTTATAAATATAGTAAGAACCAAAGACGCACTTAAGTATCAGGAGTCCAGAGACGAGAGATTCTAGCATATATAGAGTCAGAGCACATCAAAATGTTTGAACTCGACTTGAGCATATCACAAGTATCTCGTTACGCAGTCAGAGCTATAAGTGCACACTCAACTGAACATGAGGCTTCAAATTAATTATAAAGTTTAAGGAAACGAAGTAGCTAAATTCTACATAAAAATTTCAATTTGTTTAGTTTTAGTTTTCACTGTCAAGTGTCCAAGTTTAAACTCTGATTTCTTTTACACATTCTTGGGCTCTGTATTAGTCAAATCTTCAAGCGGAGGTACAAACGATAAACGAGATGCAAGTCGTTCCAAAGAATTACAATTACTAAACATTTAAAAACGATTACTCTGCGGGCACAAGTTCTGTAAGCCTTCTACTCGCTTCTACAGTTCTAGAACCGTACAATCCTTACTATTTTACTATCAAATTCTGGCCCCTGACGAGTCACTGACAAAGAATCTTTGTTCTCTACGAGCTGGCAGAAGTTTCGTCGAGCGATCCGCGGTTATTCCCCGTCGGCGAAGAATCTCGACGGTAGACGAGGAATAAAGGAAGTAGCGCCATGCGAATGGAATGTCTGTGTATGGAACGATTATTCGCGGGGTGAAGACGATTTCTCTGAGGCTCCCTTCGACCGTGCAAATCATTACAGTTTGTTCTTATCTTACATTAAATCTCCCCGCTAATCGGTAATAAACGTTACATCGTTAAAGGCCATTTGGAAACGCTGCGTTTCATCGGGAAAGAAAAATACATAATTTAATAGATTTACCTACATGATCTCCCTTACCCTACGACATTCGAAGGCACGATTCTCGGTTTTCATTCTAGCGCGATGCAGAGATTCTCCTCAGATTCGGGTCAACGCGCGACGCCGTCCGCCATGTTGGCCGAGTGCCCCGCGACGATCGAAATCCATCAACGGGCACCGACCCCGAACATTCGGATCTTTCTTTTATTTATAGATGTGCTCTGTTCGAGTTACATATTAAATAGAATTATTACATATTACACTCTATTAGTCGTCCTCACCGAATGCACGTGTAGAATGATTCTTCACCTCCATATATATTGTCCTATGTACAATACTATTGTAGATAGCAAGGTCTCGTTCCTTATCGCTTTAACTGTCTATCGGGTCTTCACACTGTGGCAAGTCGAAGGCACCATTGTTCATTGAGCTGAGATACGAGTAAGTGGATCGATCGATATAAAATGAAATTATATGTACAGGCTGTCGCACAGGTTTCCGTACAAACTTACCTAATATGTTCTTTGGCTTAAAACTAAGACGAAAATGTCGTACAAACGTGAGTTCATAACTAGATCCAGTTCATAATCTAGATGTCTGAATGTCTAAATATATTATTTATTTTTAAGCGAAAAAAGTAATTTAATCTACTGGATGAATCATTACTGATTGTATACAAGTGTACAAAACTATGCTTGTCTGGTAATTTACATTCAATTGCATCCAAAAGGTTCAAACAGCATATTCAAAAGAACAATGTGCAGACATTACACCGCAGTGAAAACAGTGAAACAGAGTGTTAACAAAGCATTCATGTACTCACGTTCATCCGACATTTTCGTCTTAGTTTTAGCCGCGGAACAGTCTTTGCAAGAAAACCTGTGGGACATCCTATGGTTACTTCAATCTCCTGTCGTATACCTAAACCGTCTCGCGTCGCGGTTACAATAAGGGGAAAGGCACGATGAACCATGTTACGTGAAAATAGCGTCCCGGAGGAAGTATCGTCTCGGGGTGCACAATTGTTTATCTATATTTCTATCCTGTGAGAGCCGCGGTGTAGGGGTCGACGTTCCCGTTGCAGGGCCGTCATCTTGTTCGCGACTTAACGGGAGAGCGTCTAAGGATCAGGGGTTCCGGGTAATGTCCCGGAGGCGTTCTTGCGCGTACACAATCGGCGAGAATCACCCTCGAACTCGACGAGTCGATCACAGTCCGTCCCGCTGTACCGCGACTTTGCGATTTACTCGCGCGAGGAAGGGATGGTCGCCTGGCTTCATATATAAATCGCCTCGGAGCCCTTGTTGCTTTGGTGAGCGCCGCCGGCGCTGTACGCGTTAGGGGAGGCCATGCACTCGGACCAGTCGCTGTTCGAGTGAGGCGAGCTGGACGACCAGTGGCCGGGACTGTCCGGCGACGGAGTCGGGAAGCTCTCCGGCGCCTGCATCAGGTGCTGGGGCGTCACGTCGGGTCCTGAATGATGAGACGGCGGCGTCAAGTACTGGTAGTACTGTTGCGTCTGTTGTTGTTGCTGCTGCTGCTGCTGCTGTTGCTGTTGCGTGCTCTGTTGTTGTTGCTGCTGCTGCTGCTGCTGCTGCTGCTGCTGCTGTTGAATCTGCTGTTGCGTTTGCTGTATCTGCTGCTGTTGCTGACTCGAGGAATAGGGAAGGTTTTCGAAGTCGAACCCCACGGTAGGCATGCCCCCGTGCTTCTGATGCGTCGCTTGTCGCATGGCGGCGATGTGGGTCGGCGAGGTTGGCAAAGACGGTCGACTTTTTGCCGGCGAGGGCGAGCCCATGTAGCTAGCCTGCGGCGAGAGCGTCATGTTCGATTGTACAGAGTGCGGCGGTGATTGATTGCTGTAAGGCGGCGAAAGTGTGTTCACCATGCCCTGTCCCTGTCGTTGGTGAGGCGCTAGCAGCTGGTCGTGAAAATTAGGCAACCCGTAGTTGGTCGTGAACGTGTCCAGCCCGAGTTGTTGAAGGCCCTGCATGGACTGGCCCTTTATGCAATCCTCGTACGGTGGTGGCTGCTTCGCCGTGGCCGTGTGACCCACCAGCGGCAGCGCGTTGCTGTACAAACTCGCGCTGTCGTACGGGCTGGGCAAGTTTCCCTCCGCGCCCTCTGCTCCTTGAGGGATCTCTTGGTTTGGGGGCTGAGCACCTCGTTTCGCTGGCGGCTTTTTTACCGACGGCTTTCGCCTCACCACCACCACGCCGCCTTCCGACTCCGGGCTGTTCGGGTTTCCCGCCGCGACGGCTTTCGGTCGTTTCTTCGACTTCCCTTGCTTCGGCGCTGAACCGATCACCGTGGGGTGTGTGATCAGCTGAGGGTGATTTGGGGAGCCTGTAACGAGAAACGAATCCAGATTAATATCATCGAACAGCTGAGAGTTCGCTTAGTGACTAGAAATCGGGTTCAAACCATCTCAAGATACCCTGAGTCAAGGAGCGAAACTCGAGGAGTCTTGAAACTGTTTGCAAAACAAATTCTTACGCTTATCACGATACCAACAAGTGTGGAGACTTTCGAAACTTATTTTAGTCTCAAGATAAAAGCTCCACGTTTTTGGCTTGCTTGAAAACTTGCAAGCAAGAGTATTGTATTGAAGACCTATTGCTATCAATTACACGTGCACCATAGAAAGATAACTTGATGGGTCCTAAGACCCCTACACCCCTTGCCCTTGTGCTGTTTAGTTTGTAGGTGCCTAGCCATCAAGTCGTCTCCCTATGATACATTAACCCTCGAATAACGCACGGCTATGGTTGGGTCGTGTCATCCAATCTAATAATCTTTGGTATCAATTCTTCTTTAAAGTTATGTTTTGCAGTTTAATCCTGGACTAATCTAAACTCAACAATATACTCTACTTTCGTATTGACATGCACAGGTTTATGTACACACAACAAACGTGTACAAAAAAATAAAGAATCTCCTTTACGATACGCTAAACGCAGCTAGAAAATGCATTTCTTTTTCTCTCTGTATCGCTCCAGCTTAGATGTCAACTGACCTATCACGTGTCGCTCGGCGAAGTCAGACTTCCCACGCCCAGCTCCGGACAGACCCACCCTCAGCCGTGCGAGTGTTAACACCGGGGTACGAAGACGCTTACCCATGAGCGGACCGTTCGGTATGACGGTCACCATCTGCGGGGATCTCGGCACGTGTTCGTCGAGCAATCTCACGATGTCGTGGTGCAATCTCTCGCTGGCCACGTCTCTAGGTAACCGATCCATGTGATCGGTGATCTCTCTGTTGGCGAAAGTGTCGAGCAGCGCTTTACAGGCCTCGAAGCTACCCTCTCTGGCCGCGAGGAACAACGGTGTCTCGTCCTTGTCGTCCTGGGCGTCTCTGTTTGCGCCGTGGCCGAGCAATATGTTGACGGCGTCTACGTTGTTCACTGCCGCCGCCCAATGCAAAGCGGTCTTCCCGCTATTGTCGGCCGCGTTGATGTCCGCGTCCGCGTTGATGAGATCCTCCACCATTCCCTCGGTGGCGAGTCGCGCGGCCAGGATCAGCGGCGTAGTGCCGTCGTGCATGCGTCCGTTGAGGTTCGTCGCTCTGTTCCGTAACAGTATTTGAAAGACGCCCATCGCGTCTGCCGCGACGGCGGAGTGCAGAGGGGTTCTGCCGGTGTTGTCCTGAGAGTTCGCGTCCGCTCCAGCGTCGAGGAGTCTCTTGGCTGCATCGGATCTGGCATAACGAGCCGCTAAATGCAAAGACGTCTCGCCGCTCTTGTCGGTCGTGGCGTTCAGATCGGCGCCCTGGGCGACCAGGTCGGCGATCATCGCTGCTGAACCGTCGCTCTCGTCCTCCTCCTCTCCGGTGTCCAATCCTCCGCCACGCACAGCGGCCACCATCAATGGCGTCATCCCACAGGGACCTCTGGCGTCCACGTCCTGGCCATGTTCCAGACTAGGCGGCGTCAAGACTCCTGCGTCCGGTCTGCGAATATCAGCGGCGTCCAGGTGTTGTTGCGTCCACATTCGCGGCTCCGTCTCCTCGTAGTCCGTGATGGCGGTGTGATCACTGGCGTATCCAGGCTCTATAGCTCTCATCCTCTTCGACGGCGGGAGATCGGACTCGTCGTCGGACCATTGTTGCGCTCGACCGTTCCCCACGTCCAGGTCCATGCAGTTCACCGACGGTTGCTTGTTCAGGTTCCTCATTTCCTGGCCATCCGGGCCCCGTCTGCGCGATCTGCGACGCTGACCGCTGCCGCTGCTCGTGCGCAGGAAACCCTCGGGGAACCAGGTCACACCCACCGCGCGTTTCCGTTGCGCCGTGACCAGGACGCCTACCAACATCCCCCCGAGTACCACGATCACCACTCCGATGAAGACGTACTTGTAATTCGTCGGAGTGTCCGGGTACTCGGGCCCCTGGGGCCCCACGACTCCTCGTACTTGCTCGATAGGGAAGTTTGGTGACAGGGAATGCTTGGATGCGGTGGCTGCTAGATACTCCGCCGCCTCGTTCGCCGAGGGGAAGCACACGGCTCCCTGCGTGACGGTACATTTTCTGTTGTCGATTTCCAAATAGGCGATCACGCCACTTTCACTGTTCGTGTAGATGGTGGTTGGGCGACCGAAGAAGTTCGTTTGCAAACTTGGCTCGCCCTCTCTCTTCCAGGGGTATATCATGTCGTTGCCCAGTTCGTTCTGCTTCACCCTCAACGTGGTTCGTAGCTCGTGGCCGATGTCCCTGAGGAAAGCCACCACGTTCGAACGGAACGTCTGCATGTCCATCCTCACGACCACGGAGATCACTCCTTCCGCCAACGATGGCGGTTCCGTGTCGCAGTCGAGTCCGTCCCAGTTGCACTCCTCGTTGTTGCAGCCATAGTCACAGTGTCCGTTGGCGTAATGCTTGCGACAATAGGCGTCGTAGATGGGGCTGTGAACATAACATATATTAAAAGTGATCTCATCGGATCGCGAATTATTTTTCATTAATACCTAACTAGGTTTGGTCTACAACTTTGGAAAAATTGATGTCAACATTTTCTTTGAATTTTTAGATACACAAAATAATAACCAATCAAACTTCTCTACATTTTCAGTCATTTTAAAAAACACTTGCTCCAATGCTTACACTGGGACTGTGAATTCTAAAGATCGTGCTTTGCTTGTGCAACATATTTCTACATACACATACAACTTCAAACTTTATTTCAATTTCAACCTCGAGTATATGAAACGAAATCCAAATAGATTCTTGTCCAAAGTTGTAGACCATGTACTAATAATCAATTCTTGTAAGGTTACATACTTGCAAGGCGCCAGCTTCCTCTCGCAATCCCTTCCATCGAATAGACACTGGGCATTGTTGCATACATCGTCGCAAACGTCGTTCATGAACACGTCCCAGCAGTTGATGGGGGCCGTGCAATTGCGCCACGGGTTGATTCCAAGCGAGCAGTCGTTTCCGTCGAAGTTGCAGGCATACCTGTTGCACTCCTCGTCGCAGTGATGATTTCCCGACTTCTCCTCGCATCTGTTCTCGATGCACTTCTTCCTTTCGAGTTCCAAATCCAGGTCGTACGCGTTCATGATTTTCGGGACGTTCGAGTTCGCCCTGCCGAATACGCCACCTCCGTAATTCGGATCGTAAATCTCGCAGTTCTTGCCCGTCCATTTGGGCGGACAGTCGCAGGCATAATCGCCAAGGAGGTTCTTGCATACTGCGTTGGACTGCTGGCAGGGATTGCTCGCGCACTCGTCTCTAGCGTCTATTTCGCAATGAGTTCCGGTGGTTCCCGGAGGACAGTAACACCTGTAGCCTACCTCCGTTTCAGCCACCCGACAAGTGCCTCCGTTCAAGCAGGGTTCCCGATCGCAATAAGAACCAGCGAACTCGCAGTTGCTTCCATAATAGTCGCTAGGACAGAGACAGGTGTGTCCAGCTTGCTTGGCCGTGCAGACTCCGCCGTTTTGACACGGCGAGCTGTCGCAGAAGTTCACTTTGACCTCGCAGTGGCGTCCCATGTAACCTGGCTTGCAGTTGCAGTGGTAGTTGTTGACCAGCTGCACGCAATCCTGAGTACCCGGCGAGGTGCACGGGTTCGACAGGCACTCATTGATGTCTCCTTCGCATCTGGGTCCCACGAAACCGGGCGGACACCTGCACTCGAATCCGCCCACCTTGTCCGTGCACGTTCCGTTGTTATGGCAAGTCCCGATGGCGCAGTCGTCGACGTTCAGTTCGCAGATGAAGCCCAAGGTTCCCGGCGGGCACGAGCAGCTGAAGTTGCTGATCAGGTCGTGGCAAGTACCTCCATTCTGACAGGGATTGGGCCTGCAATCGTCCACGTTGAGCTCGCAGTTCTGACCCTGGAAGCCTTTCGTGCACTGGCACTGATACGAGCCGACCAGATCCTTGCACGCGGCGCCATTTTGACACGGGGCGGAATCGCACTCGTTGACCTCCTCCTGACAGTACGATCCTGTGTACCCCTCCAGACAATGACAACGATGGCTGTTCCCAATATCCTCGCAGGTTCCGTTGTTGCACAGGTTCTTCTCGGGCACTCCCTTCCTGATGGCCGCGTCCTTGCACGAGACCATCTCCACGTCGCAGACCTTCCCGGTCCAACCTGGCGAGCAGTTGCAGTGATACTTGTTCTTGTGTTGGACGCAAGTGGCCTGGTTCTCGCAGGGACTGTCCCCGCACCAGTCCACGTACTGGTCGCATCTCGTCCCGGTGTACCCGTAAGGACAGTGACAAGTGAAATACTGAACGTGATCGTGGCACGTGGCGCCGTTCAGACAAGGTGAACTGTCGCACTCGTTGATACGGTACTGACAGTTCGATCCGGTGTAACCCGGCTCGCAGACGCAGGTGTAGTTGTTGATGCCGTCTATGCACTTGCCCCCGTTCATGCAACTGCTGTCCGTGCAATCCTCGTCGTTGGTCTGACAATTTATCCCGGAGAATCCTAGCTGACACTGGCACGTGTAGGAGTTCACGTACTCTTTGCAGACGGCGCCGTTCTGGCAGGGCTGCGACTGACACTCGTCCACGTCGATCTCGCAGTGTTTGCCGCTGAAACCGTCCACGCAGAGGCAAGTGTAGTCGCCGATTCCGTCCAGGCACGTGCCACCATTTTGACAGGGGACTGTAGAGAACACGATTATGGTCAGTAAACCGAAGAATCTTGTTGAAATATTATTCGAATTACGGTGTTAGGTACTCACAGGAAGCACAGTCGTCGGTGTTGATGATGCAGTCCCGTCCTTCGTAGCCCTTGGCGCAGACACATTGGTAGGAGCCGTTGGTGTTCCTGCAGGTAGCGCCGTTTCTGCACGGGGACGTCATCACGCACTCGTCGACGTCCTCGTCGCAGAGCCTGCCGGTGTAGCCCACCGTGCAGGTGCATGCGAAGTCCAGGAAGTTGGACGACGGTGAACACTTGGCGCCATGTAGACACCTGTAACAATAACACCAAAGGTTCGTTCAACTCCTTCATCGACGATGGATCAAACCGATAGTCATGAGGCGATTTCACGTGGCTGAAACTTGGATTGTAATCCTCAGCGATAGATCAACGTTACAGGATAATTCAATGTTTCTAGATTCTGACAGTGTGCACGAGCGTTTGCGTAGGAACGATATATACTTGTAAAGCAAAATTTCTTTTCACAAGCGTAGTCGGTGGAATGGAAAGTTTGTCGATAAAACTCATCGGTACTAATATTCCCAAGTCGTTCACGGTATCAACAAACTTTCCATTCCATCGACTACGTTTGTGAACGGTCAGGTGAGAACTATTCGCGTAATTTCGTGATCCGTACTTGTTAGGGGAGCAAGGATCGAGCTTGTCCTCGCAGTTCCGTCCCGTGTACGGCAGCTCGCAGACGCATTTGTAGTCGTTGACGAGGTCGATGCACGAGCCGCCGTTCTGGCATGGATTGTTCGCGCAATCGTCGATGTTGGTCTCGCAGTTGGTGCCCGCGTAACCGGGCACACACTTGCAGCTGTAGCCGTTCAGGTGGTCGTTGCATGTGCCGCCGTGTTGGCAAGGATTCGAGCCGCACTCGTCAATGTCGGCCTCGCATCTCTTGCCACCGTAACCCGGCAAGCAATGACAGATGAACTGGTTGACACCGTCCTCGCAGGTGCCACCGTTCACGCAAGGATTGCTAGCGCACTCGTCCACGTCGCTCAGACATCTAGCGTCGTAGTAGCCGCGGGGGCACTCGCATCGGAAGCCGTTTATCAGATCTATGCACCGACCACCGTTCGCGCAAGGATTGCTAGCGCACTCGTTTATGTCCGTCTCGCAGTGCTGCCCCGTGAAACCTGCCTCGCACTCGCACGAATACCTGGAAGAAGAGACATCGTATCCACTGAGGATGGAAGAAATGATAACGTTAGAGCGGGCCAAGATTTTGCCAGATTAAGGGGTTCATGCGAGGGACACGTCGGTTTTTATCGTTCTTTCGCTCGGACTAGAACCGGTGAAATTTTCGGGGACAGGGGGATGCGATCGGTAGATCAATTTTGCCAGATTCTGAGCGTGCTCGTAATGAAGCAATTCATCCGAAAGAATTTCGTCTCTTCGTTCTTCATCGAATGATTTTCTTTCTACTTTCTTTCGCTGTTGTTCGTGTCAAACCGCTTAAATGGGGAGGGAGAGGTGTTCGATGAAATTTGTACCGCTAAGGGGAGACAAGATTAACACTTTATCGGCTGTTTCTTATGCCTATAGGAATGTTAAATCAATCTTTGTAAAGGATTTTGATATATTGTTTGCTTTCTGTTTAAATCTAGTAATATTTTTTATTTTCATGACAGTCGGTTAGTAAGCTACCAGTCGGTAAAAAGTCGATTAATAGGCTACCGGCCGGTAAAGTGTTCTCTTATCTTCGGAGCAGTGCAAATTTCTTTCGAAAGCAATCTTCGATAATTGACCTGGAAATATTCTCACTCGTCCATCCCCATTTAAATGCTTCATCTACATCACCGTCCAAGCCTTCCGGGCTCCGCCATATTGAATTTTATAGCAGTCCACAAATTTTCAGTAGCCACAGTTACTCTCCCTCCTACTCGTACACTATAATAGCGATTCATTAACAATGAAACACATTATAATACCAGTTTCTGATGGTCATTAAAGTAATTGAACCTTCAAAAATTTATTCCTATCTGATGTTACCTACAGTTAATATAAATGCAAGATTCTCATCGTAAGAGAACTATCCTATACACAGTGGGTAAATAAACTTGAAATACTCGTGGACCGTTAAGGATTAAGACTGAAAAGCGTATGGACAGCAGCGTAGATAGACGTACGTATCGGCAGTGAGTTTTCAAGCCACTCCAAGCGATTTTCACAGTGGAACGACGTGTTCTCGTGTTCCAATTTCCAAGGACCTTTCGCAGGCACCTGATCGCCAAGCGATCGTCGACTCACCTGTTGATACCGTCGATGCATCTCGCCCCGTTCCTGCACGGATTGCTATAGCACTCGTTCACGTTCACCTCACAGTTCGTGCCGGACGTGCCGGGCCTGCAGATGCACTGGTAACCGTTTATACGGTCCTCGCATCTACCGCCGAATTGGCACGGATTGCTCTCGCACTCGTCGATCTGGATTTGACAGAGCTTCCCGGTGAATCCCTCGTAGCAGTTGCAACTGAAACTGTTCTCGCCGTCGATGCATGTGCCGCTGTGGCAGGGGTTCGATTGGCAGTCGTTGATGTTCGTCTCGCAGGAGGCGCCTGTGAACCCTGGCGGACAGTCGCAGGTGTATTTCGCTATCGAGTCCTGGCAGATCCCGCCATTTTTGCATGGCGAGGACGCGCAGTCGTCTATGTTGATCTGACAGTGGGCTCCGGCGAAACCGTTCGCGCACGTGCACTTGAAGGAGTTTATCAGGTCGGTGCACACGCCCCCGTTTAGGCAGGGCTTCGCGGCGCACTCGTCTATGTCGATCTCGCACTGGGTGCCCGTGAAACCTGCAAAACAATTTCGAAATTATCGTTAATGGGGGTCAGACAGATTTGGGCGACAAGATTGCATTGCTATGGAAATGGAAAAATTAATTTGAGATTTGAGATTTTTACGAAAAATAAGTAATGAAATGAATTTTATGTTATGTGGTTTGCAATTGTTTAAAATCAGACTTCCAAAATATTTTAAATATTATTTCGAATAATACGGTATTTTACTTTGTTATTATTTTCATGCTGTGTTCACTTTTGAAATGGTTTAAAATTAAAATTGTAGGCTTACAGTCAATAAGCACGATACGAGACAAATTTAATGAACCTCTCGGTGCATCCTTCCCAAAATTTGAATATATTATAATACAAATTGGTTCTGATTCCATGGCCGGAAGAACGACGAAGAATAAGATTGAATTTAAATATCAGCGTAAATGAAAAGAAGCAAAATGTTTCGAAGAAAACATCGGTCGGTCCGAATTTAGCACTCGTTGTTTCAATCCCTTTGCGCCGAAATTTCCAGCTCGAAACATTTATCGGGTGTAATAAGCACGTGCAGAAGCGGCAATTGCACACGCGCATCAAACTGTCGCCGATTAATGTAACCGAGGCCGGAATTGGTACCTGGTGCTCGGGCATTTTCTTTCAGAACCAGGTGCATTACTCGAACTGGGAATAATTTGCAAGGTCTTTTTCGAAGGTATAACTTCTGGCAACGGCCGCGTAAAATTATCCAGGGGTTAAGACGCAACGAACAAAAAGCTGCGATCGATTGAACCAGTTCAAACCTCTAACGGTACACCGGGGCACCTGATCGCTTTAATTATCGCCGCGATCGAAAAACCTGCTTTCTTTTCGTTGATCAATATCGGTTAAAACTGTTTTCGAATGTGACATTTGATTATATCATTATCATGCTAAAAAATGTTAGAGTTCGTTTGTTACACTTAATTTCAATCAGAAGCTTGGAAGACTGAACATCTCTGATTTATAAAGAAAGCTTCACATTTAGAGCAAAGATGCAAATGGGTTAATACTGTCACCTAGGACGAGTTCGCCTAATTTTCTGCTAGGAAGATTATGCCCACGTGGAATTCGAATTAGGTGATCAGAGTTTTCCTTTTTCATGAAAGATTGTTTTACCATCGAGATTTGTATCGTTGATTTTTCGTGATTCTTTCTTTTAAGTAAAAATGACAAATATTCGTTGGAAGGAATGGAGCCGTCACCGAGGCGGCTGCCAACAATTAGCCTTAATTTGACGCGCGCAGGAGCAGAACGAAACTGGTCCAGATGGGCCAGGAGACTACTGCTAATTGCATCTTTGATCGATCGGTTCCTTGCACTTTTTTCCATTCGCGTTCCTCTCCGACTACTTCGCATAGTGATCCGCAGACAGCGATAATCGCGGCAATTACCGGGAGTAATTAGAGCCTGCGGATGACTATCGCGTGGAAGAAAGTGCCAGGTGGGCCCCGATCGCCGCCGATCAATGTCTCGCAAAAAGAACGTTACTCATACTCGAGGCGTTTTGGGCGAGAAGATCGACTTATTGGAACGATCTGTGCTCTCTGGACATATCGTGGGTGGTCTTTTTTGCATCAGGGTTCATTTAAAGCTGAGAAATACCTCCAATTCTTTTACAAAGATAGATTTCATTACTCTGAACAGAGCCAGGGCTAATCATTATCATTTGGCTTCTTCTTTAGCTAGCATTGGAATTGCTAAAAATTTTAAATGCAAATGAAGTAACGATTTTGAAGATTTAAATTACATTTTGTAGCAATGAATTCAATTAAACGAATCTCCGTAGCTTCAAGTTTCCAATTGCCAAATAGCATCGATCTGTTTATTCAGAAACCCAACACGAAGGCTTGTAAAATTATCTTCTCCTTTTTCAAACAATATAAATCACAAATTTAACACAATTCTAAAATACATAAATCTGTATGTATAATTTCAAGTGCTTAATAATAAAAAAAATTAATAAAATAATAATAAAAACGTACTATTATAAATGCATAGTATTTTCAATTTGGTAACCTTAGAAACAGAAGACTAACAGAAGACGTTCCATAAACGTAGGATTTGGAATAACAACGAAGTGGCGCGTTTTTTCGAATAAATCGAGACATCGACGAGCGGCGATCGAGGTCGTTTATCGAGATCGTAATCGGCGTTAAAAATCGAACGACACACCTATTGACAAACGAAACGATAACAGCTATTTGAAAAGGAACCGGTTGCTCGTTAAGGTACTTCTCGAATTGTACCGTTTCTCCACGACTTCCAGGAGAATTCTCAGGGTTCGGTAGCTTTGGTCCCCGGATGCGTTCTGCGGATGTTCTGCAGGGTTCTTGCACCAGGTGGTCTTAATGACTGCGAGCTTCCCCGTTTCTGTCAGTCTCGTGCAGATAATACAAGCTCATTCGTACACGGAATCGCGTCACGTCGGCATCGCCGTAATTTTCACGGGAGATAGAAAAGAGGCGGCGGAAGAGGAGCCCGAGAGACGCTACAGGTGGTCTAATTAAATTACGGTAATCTCCCACCGAAATATACTCCATTAATTACGATCGGTTTAAATTATTCATCCGCGTGAGACTCTTTTGTAAATTACACGATTGTCGAAGTTTACTGTAATCATACAAAAATCTAAATAGACTCGTTTCATCGGAATATTTCATTCGCCAAATAGAAAGAAAAAAGCAAAATGTAGATGGAGTATACCAACCAGGGTGAAAGGTGCATAATCTATTTATTTCAATAATAACTCTTCCTTAAAAAGAATTGCTATAAATGCGAATTATAGGAGTATGAATAGCAAGTAATCGAATAAAAAAATCGAGCAAAACGATCGAAGAACTCATTACGACCATAGAGAATTGATTGGAGAGAGTTGGAGTCCGATTTTATTCTTCCTGAAGCTGTTTTATTTATCGCGCCTGGAGGTTTAACAAAATTCTCGTAGAAGCAATATATTGTTACCGCTATGGAAAATGTATGGATTTCTCTGCACCGTATAGGAGAAACGTAATTCCGCAAACGTGAAAGCGGAGTGCTAGAATTTATTTCGTCGAAACTTTAACTGCTAATTTCGAACACCGCAACCGATACCGGTGTCCTTTTAATTGGAGGAGAACTAATTAAGAAGAGTGCACCCGGGGAATTCAGTAACGAATCCCAAGCACGAATGTCGATAGATTCCTTGCCCGTGTATGGCAGACTTCTCAATGGGAGAAAGTTATCGAACAGCTTGGCCTTCCGCGTTATAAAGGTTCCACGTCGACTAAACGGCAAGAGATTCGCTGATCGTGGACCAAGTATAGCGGTCTATCGCTTTCAAAAATTTTCAACAAGTGTATAGAATCGACAAGAGTTTGTCTTTTATAATATTTCAATTTTTATAAGGTGTCTGAATTTTTTCAGTTTCTTTTTTTTTTAATAAACGCAAGAATGGCGATTGTGCGCGATCTGCACTCGGAAATATCATTGATCGTGCAGCCGGATGACGCGTGGATTTTTACCGTATTTACATTCACTTAAGATTTCTCTGTCTCTCCTCATTCAGACAATGATGCGGCTAATTCAGTTGTGAATGCACGTACAAACCGGCGTCCGTCGCTTCCTCTCGAATCTTAAGGGCTACGTACACAACGGACGAACGTCATGAATCATTGAGCAGCGTGCACTGATTTTTCTTAGCGAAGATGGCCTTTCGTAGCTTTATCTCTCTGGAGGCACCTACCGCGACGTCGTAAATCATAGCGATACTTATCGAAGCGATACAGCTCCTCGACAATTATCACCGTCGTGGTAATAACGTTTTCGCGTTTCGCCATTTGTTTCATTACACTCTCTAAATTTAAACGTCTGGATTTAATGGATAGGGTTGGGAAAGTGCAATTATAGCTCACTACACAGAAAAATGTAAACGTGTAAACTGGAGGTTGTTCTAAGCCCACTAGACAAGGATTAAATAAATAAATAAACATCTGTATTTAAATATAATTTTATATGTAGATAATTTGCAATGACTATTATTTATTTATTTAATGCTTGTCTAATGGGCTGAGAATAACTTCCAGTTTACACGTTTACTTTTTCTATTTCATTGGCTGTAATTCACTGTACAATCCATAATCTAGTAAACTTACAATTTAATAATCCAATAATATTTTATTTTATATTCTTTAAAGAGTAGTTATTTGGAAATAAATAAACTTATTTTGCTGTAACTGTAAACAGACACAATTCGAATTTATAAACTCCATTTTAATTCCCTTTTGGTATACTCGACGACACTGTGACTCGAACGATCGCGCTTACCACGCATCGAAGTCATCAGAGTGGCGATTAAAACCAGCTCGTATCGTCACTCTTGTAACTCGTTCGCTTCGCAATGAATAATTAAATAGAATATAACAAAATGTTATTCATCAAGAAAGAAACGAATAGACGAAACGAGAAAGCGAAAGTGTGCATTTCGTGGATCGAAATCTGTTTTTTTAAAGGCGATCTCGAACACCGCGAGTATCCGTACGCAAATTTGAAACCATTCGCGAGGCAATTCGTCGTTGCTATCGATGTCAGAAGACCGTCCCCGGCGTATTTGCATACGAATACGCCCGCAGAAACACGTAGCGTTTGAATTATTAAAGACAGCCCAGGATACGAGGCGGGGTTGAAGGCAGAAACATTTTTCAGCGCTGAGTTAACACGCCATTGTCTTTCCTCGCGATTTTCATACCGCCGTTGTTTCCTCGCTTCTTTACACGCGAACAGAAATGGAAAAATCGCGCCGGCAGAGCGATCCTTACATTTTGATAAGCGACCACCTGTTCCTTTGTCTGTCCTTGAACCAATGGGGCGTTCGAATCTTTTCGAAATTATTTCGATCGACGCTATTCTTTGAAATTTAACCTCTTCAGGGACGATTTTTATTTTTTTTATAATCTGTAGTGAAAATTTTGGCCTATTTATTATTGACAGTAACTATAATTATAAAAAAC